CTATCTATCTATCTATCTATCTATCTATCTATCTATCTATCTATCTATCTATCTATCTATCTATCTATCTATCTATCTATCTATCTATCTTATTCTATTTTCCTTGCTGTCATCACATAGTTGTTCTATCAGAGTCACTCCCACTGTTTTGTTTACAGTGCTTTCAGCAGTGTTTGCAAGAGTAATGAAATAGTCAAATAGTCAGCCTTACCCACTCAGCAGTGGTTTCCAAAAAAAACTAGTACATACTGTATTTACTGCACCTGATGAACCAAAGCTACTGTGCAGCAGGTTTTGGGGGGGGGGGAGTTTAAATGGTGTGATGAAGTTTCTAAAAGAAGTCAGTTCAGCCTCTGCAGCGTTCAGGAGTTGCTCGACAGTTGTGTTTAGTGTTCACTGCCGACTGTGCTGGCAGTATATTTTCTAAGAACATGTCAGCACTCTCCTGGTGTGTTTACTGAAATCACAGCAGGTTCCTGAAAATAAGGGAAGGTATTAACAGACGGCTGGTTTTTGTCCCAGCGTTGATGGCTGGCCCGGTGATAAAAATCACAGTTACACACGCGCAAACACGACTAAAGCGAATGTCTACCCCAGGGATAGCTCTGTTATAATCCCATGACACATGTGTGATGAAACAAAGATCTTATATCTGTAACATTTCAGTTTAGTCTTTTGTTTTTGGTGCTGGTGGTCATGCAGAACAAAGCAGCATATGTCTTCTCATACACACACACAAAAAGCCAAAGAGCTAAGCTAGGAGGTAAGACAAGATATTTTCTGGTTTCTAGGAAAGACAGTTATGTGAGAGCCATGCTGGACCTGCACCTGCACCTGCTGAATGTGTGCATGACCCTGCATGCAAACTTTAAAAGAAGCTGCTGGAACTGTTCCAGCTGGGCAAAACTGGTTCAGCACAACAGATTTAAAGGGCTTTTGTAACTCTATAGTTTCCAGGCATAGAACGGTTCTACTTTTCACCTCAACAGTGTTTATCCCACAACTACAACTTATTCCTGTTCATTTTTAGCTCCTTAGACATTTTGTGGTGTGCAGACACACAGGGTTCAGAGTTCTGCTAATAAAATGCTAACTGAGATTTTGTGTCTGTACAGTAACTAGACCTGTAATGAACATTGTCTGGTCACAGTTTTACTTTTTTAGGAGGGACATTTAGGATGTGTTCCTGTGAAGCTGACAGAATGACTTATATTTTTATGTAGAAGAACCTGGTCAATTAGTTTTGTTGGTTTAAAAAGTATTTTTGTTTGTTTGTTGTAAATACCATTATAAAATCTTCCCATCAGTGTAATATTTTCCTGATATGACTTTTTTTTCTGGTTCATTCTTATGTTTTTGGCATTGCTGGATAAGTGGCGCAACTGACTTTATGGGGATCCTCCATAAATCCTCTGCGTTTCTATTTTGAATAAAGCGATCTAAATATGCAATATGCATTTTGTTTTGGTTTTTTTATACTCTTACTGACAGACAGACAAAGAGATAAATATCACTGAGCACATAAATCCACCGCAGTGGGAGCAGGATAAAATAATCCACGCGTCTCCTGGAGCAGCATCACCCGTCAAACAGAGCCTTTTCTAAAGTGCCGTTTCCCACGCCTCACCACCCTCTAGTGAACCTTGTTGCCGTGGGTGAGGAGAGAGAGGTGATGCAAGGGGCAGCACTGTGAGGGGGGTCACGGAGAAAAAGCTGCTGCTCATGTGCTGAACAAACGACAAGGCGAAAAATGACATAAGTTACGAGCCAAATAGCAGTGAGAATTGCAATTTCCTGAGTTGTATTTGCATAGATGGGTTTTTTCTTTGTTTGTTTTTTGTAATTAATTTAGGTTTATTTACACAGCCCTCTTTCTCAAGCATCTTTAATTACGTTAGAATTTTTGCACACCACACAGATCCTGTCCCACACTGAATCATATTGCATGCAATTCAAATGATTCTAATCATTTTCATTGGTTTAGAGAGCCGTGGTGCCCTTCAGATAAGATTTTAAAGAGTGACACTGTTTTTTGTGCAGTGACCCGTCTCTCTATGAGGGAAGTGGAATCAAAGTCAGAAAGAAAACTGTCACGCATCAGTGTTTGTGTTAATATGGCTGCTCTGAACTGCTGTAAAAAATGTAGACCACTTTTTAAACCAGTAATACTGTCATAGCTGCCCTTTAAAGGGATTAGTGTCTGATTATTTTAGGCCTCAACAAGTCATTTTTAAAAAAGATAATTTTTTTCAGTGGGGCTTGAAGTCTTTTTCAAGTGCAACTTTCTGTCGTCTGATTGACGTCAGCGGCCAGCGGTTCACTCTAAAATAGGTCTCATGGCTAAGTTAGGAAACTCATAGCATACTGCAGGAATGTTTAAAACAACAAACAATGTAGACGGCTGCAATTCCTTTCTTCACATGTTCAAAGAGGCTCGTTTCAAAGGATGGCCAGCTCGAGTCAGCACTTCAGTGGATGTTTCTAAAATTTGCCCAGCTCTTTGCGTGGTTTTGATCACATGAAAAGTTATCAAAGAGATCTCAGCGGTTTATGTTCTCGTGTGCTGTTGACCCACGTGTACCGAAGAATCACTTGAGCTGTGTGAATGGTTTTATTTTCAGCCCAAGTAGCACTCCCAGACACACTCCCAGATTATGAGTCCAGAAACTGTTATGATTGGCTGAAGCTTTCATAATTATCACATACTTCAGTGTCCACATCCAAAGACAATAGTCATATGTCTCCCCAGCAGCCGTAAATTACACAAGGAATCTGCACTTGAAGCCGCAAAGTTTTGGACTCGTCAACTTAAATGAATATCTCTCTTAATTTTGTTTTTAAAGGAACGCCATTTAAATAAATACCTCCCTGCATTAAGTAGATAAAATATTCATCCATTACTTATAGATAATGAGTATTGATGCTTTAAATACGCCATCGTTCGTATTTGTTCACCTGACGACTATTCTGAGGACAGCATATGGTTTTTCTTATTTGCTGCTCGTGATGTTGGCCTGTCGTGATCCATCAGTCCACAGCTGAGTATCCATCCATGCAGTGTTTAAACAGCCAGGGAAGATTTATGACTCTCTGACTCTTGATTTTCAAGGTTTTAATATAAAAAAAACAATGACTGCCTTCACATCTACACAGTTACTCAGACTTTGTAACAATTAAAAGCATTTTGAAGTTCCTCTTACAGAAGTAGCATCATCTGACTTAATCCGTGGCTCTTCTTCACAGCGTGTCTTTGTCCTGTCTTCCTCCCCTCACTCTCAACCATTCGCGGCAGATGGCCGCCTGGTTCTGCCAGGGATTTCTTCCTGTTAATAGTTTTTCCTTCCCACTATCACCAAAGCGCTTGCTCATAGGGGGTCATTCAATTGTTGGGGTTTTCCCTGATTTCTCTGTATGATTGTAGGGTCTTTACTTTACAATATATAAAGTGATTTTACTTGATATTGGATTGATACCAAAATTTTCAGTATCACAATGTAACAACAGCAAATGTACAAGAGTCCTTTAATGTTTTAGGAGCTTTGGATTTTATGAGCAAAGCTTGAATTTCTGTAGCGATTCTTCCTTAGGCTGAGATTTGGCAGGTTTATCAGCGATCATGTTGTTGCTGTGTGATTAATCACAACACAAGGGTCAAGTGTGTGGAGGCCGCTGCCTGCTGAATGCATTGCCTGGGCATTCCCTAACAGAAAAGGTGGTGATGCTGGTTAAAGTGTTGTAATTTTGTATTTTCTAATTGTTTTTTCATTTTTCATCTTATCCTGGGCATTTATGCTGACAAACTTTACCAAACTGACAAGACTAAAACTAAGGACATTCGTTTAATTAATTTTGGTTAGTTTTTTTTTTTTTTCTTCTTCTTCTTCTTCTTCTTCTTCTTCTTCTTCTTCTTCTTCTTCTTCTTCTTCTTCTTTTTTTTAACAAAAGTCTATTTTTATTTTCATTTTGTTTTCTTTGTTTAACTGAAACTCTTCATCACATGCTTCATCACCAACTGCTTCCTGCTTTTGATTAATTTGTTCTTACATTGTTATTATTGTTTTACATTGCTGTTTTATTTACTGTTACATTGTTTTATATTTCAGTTTCTTGTGTTGTAAAGCGCTTTGTGATTTATTTTTTTTTATCTGTGAAATAGGTAATTACTTACTTACCTACTTACACCTGCATTTAGCTATTTTCTTTTTACATTTTTCAGTTTTGTTTTATTTAATCATTAGAAGCAAATTGTTTTAGTTAATGTGGATTTTAATAAACTAAAACTAAACTAATAAACTTAAAAATAATTTGCAAAAGTTTTCACAGAATGTGATTATTCATGTCTTAGTTAGTGGCCAGATCTTAATCTACTTTCGATTCATCCCTAAAAGGGAGTTTTTCCTTCCCGCTGTCACCAGGTACTCGCTCACAGGGTGTCCTGTGATTGTTGAGGTTTTCTGTCTATCGTAGGGTCTTTACCTTGTAATATAAAACTGCTTGAGGCAGCTGTTGTTGTTGCTATGTAAATATAGAATTGAACTGAAATTCATGTCATTTATTTTAAACTTTATTTTTAACTTTCTCTCTTTACAGATGACACATCCTCTAAAGAAGTCAGCAGGGTAGGTGTTTACTTTATTTATCATCTTATTTTATATATTACATTCTGTATATTATAACATAATATTGTCCTTCAGTAACTGTAAAAATGGCTTGATGCTATTTAAGAACTGCACACACTGAAACAGTTGTGTTTGTCCTTGTCCTTACTTTATTTAGTCTTGTGCCTTTGTATGACTTTGTCAAAGGGATAACATCAATATAAAGAATATGAAAACATATGGTTGGACCATAAACGCATCATGTGTGTCACAGTTGTTGGGAAAGTTAGAAAGGTTCAATGGCTATTGTTACACATACTGCATGTTCACACCTTTGTCATTCACACCATCAGAAGACCGGGTGTCAGCACCCACAGCGAGGCCATGACGCTGAGGAGAAGGAACTAACACATGCACACACAGGGGAAAAAAAGGGGGAAAAAATTAGATCCACTTGGCCCCTCAGTGCGTCACCCATACGTCTGTGCAAACAGGATGTGGGAGGATAGAAGGCGTCCCATGGGGAAGGGTTTCTAGTACGCCACTCTCCTTGCCGTCCTGTCCTCACACTCACGGCAGGAGCAGAACTAGACCGCTCTCTTGCCCCGTACTAGCCGGGAGGTTTGCCTCTTACATAACCGCAGTTTTAAGCTGAGGCTGACCAGCACAGCTTGCCAGAGCTCTAATCAGAACTGTGGGGATCTGGTGGCCTCCTTGCAAAACTGCAGGGGGATCCCTGAGCTAGAGTCTAGGGGTGGGGCAGGGAGTAATGTTATGATGAATGGCTTTGTCTTTGTGAATGGCATTAATCCCCTTTCACTGAGAAACAGAAAAAAAAAAGTCATTTGACCTGGAGTAATCTGCAGTAACATTAGACTGAATGCAGTAGAGAATGAAGGTTGTTGTCAGGTTTTTCTGCCTCGTTGCACTTGCTGAATTTTGATATTCAATCTCAGTGTTTGTGCAAGACTGAACAGATCCAATTTCTTTGTGTCTTGTGTCCAACAGTACCAGGACACAAATATGCAGGGTGTGGTGTACGAACTCAACAGCTACATAGAGCAGCGCCTGGACACTGGAGGAGACAATAAACTCCTGCTCTATGAGTTGTGCAACATCATCAAAACAGGTAAAAGTAAACATCAACCAAAAGTGGATTTTTGCAAAACCTCTCTCGATGAGCACGGCTTCAGATACTCTGGGTGTCATTTCAGCACCGTAATAGTGGAGGAGCAGGATAAGCTCAGATGCAGCAGGAAGTTTTGTCCGTTTAAAATCAAATTTGGTGCACATGTACTTTTCTAACACCCACTTTAGTAAACCCCACCCACATGCTGATCCAATAAACAAAAGTAAGGATAAGAATTACTTGCAAATTAGCAAAGCAAACCAAATCATGTTTGTCACTTACAGGCCAATAAACCAGAAAATTGAGTTATGTAAAAGGTTAAAAACAATCACTCTTTTTTATTTTATTGATTCAGTTCATAAAGTATTGATGGATTATTTGTTCCTGTTTCATATTATGACTCCATCTTAATGACTGGGAGAATTTCATAAGCAGTGATTCAAAGTTATACTTTTATAATGAATCTGAGTATAAAGGTTCACTTTATCCAAACCTCATTTCTCATTAACTGCTTGATCACTTGTGCACTGACTGCACCACCAGGCTCTCTGACTCCACATTGTATGATAACATGACCTATATATCTGTGTGAAGTAGGACTGGAAAGGAGAACTGGGAATGAGATGCACTGGATGGCAGTCAAAGCTTTCGGTCAGAGTACCCTTGTAGTTATCTAGGACATTGTTAATAGATTGGTATTAGATTATAATGGGG